GAAGAAGAGTTAAGAAGCCTCATTTACATATTTCAGCGTGGCATATTAGGAGGTTTGTTATTTTTTTCCTTTGCCTTTATTCTGCACTTGTAACACACACAAAAAAACCGCCACTCTAGCATGAATGGGTAAAGAGAAATCTCTCTTTCTGGGCTCTTGACCTACGGAATGACTTATGAAGCATACCATCAGAATGAAAGAAAAATTCCACGTACAATAATGTTCTGTAAGGGAAAAATTCACATATTTTTGTTCCATGTTGGCAATATTTGCATGTAAATGGCAGCAAGTGCCAATCATTAATTAATGTCAATTTCCATTCATTGCAATACAAAATTCACCAACATTCTATTAATAACTCAATATCATTTTATTTCAATCAACTCTCTTTAGTTTTGCACACACACACACACACACTGTATAGGAAGACAAATCATTGACATTCATTCTCACCCAGTAATCATTTCTATTATCAACCGCAATCACATCAATTTATCGTGCTCAATTTATTTCCTATTAAAATTTCAACACAATTCTTTTTTTATGATTAATTGCAAACTGGCGGACAAATTTGCAACATAAATTACATTGTTTACTCCATCACTTCAGCCTATTTTTCAACACTCGCCGACAGAGAGGAATGTTTACCAAACATATGTATTTCTTCGTATAGAGATCAAAGTACATTTTTGGGGACAATATATGATAAATAATGCATGAAATATGATTGAGGAGAATAAGGAGGAAAAACTCTGTTCTTTCGCCATGACAAATTACACGGAATTATAGGGAGTGTGGAGAGGGGAAAAAAAACTTAAGCACTCTCTTTCTGAAAGTCCCTTATCCCCGCCCTAAATCCATATCAGAAGATTTTACAGCACAACTGTCCCGCACAGCATCTCCATTCATCCTCGTCCATCTTTCCCACCCCCGCGCGCGCGCCAGCCGGAATTCACATGGGGGGGAAATTGACACCCAAACCACCCTCGCACACCCACTTAACCGAAAAACGTCTAATAAAAACTTTGAGATTTTCCCATCACAAGTGTTTTGTGTGACTTCTTCTCCATCATCTTTTACATTCGACGTTTTTCTCCACTGTTTCACGCCCCAGCTTCTCTCCCCTTGTCTTCTCCTATTCTCTCCCTCTCTCCCTCTGTCTCTCCCTCTCTCGGCCAAACTTTTGAACAACTTGTTATCAATTAAATTCAAAACTTTTCACCATACTTCATCGCATTACAACTTTGGTGGAGAAAAATAAACAGCCATCGCACTTGTACAAATTTCTATATCAATCACCCGAGAAAAACACAAAAGTCAGAAAGAAATATGCAAAAGTATGCAAATGAAAAGGTTTTAAAATACCCAAGCACACCTGGAACGACGGACCACTGCTGGAAAGTGAGATCGCACATTGGAAAGTATGCAAATAATCTCATCATTAAAAATCCCTCACCACAACACTTAATAAATTAACTGGACGAATTCCATCTTTTTTTTTCCTTTTATACCTCAATTAGGAATTTCAGAAAATTGCTGGGACAATCAAAATTATTCAGAAGTTTAGAATGGGATATAAAAGTAAGAAAACTCCACCAGAAAAAGCAGCTGTTTTTACTACCTTTGGGAAATTCTTAGAAGATATTCTGGAAAGTGATTCAACAAACTGATAAAAACAAACTCTCCATTTTGCTCAATTGGATTACAATGTTGGGTGAATTTAAACTAAAAACAAATCTCCACGGAAAAAAACAATTATGCAAATTGAATAAACTTTAGTTTGTGACTCTCTTTCACCTTAATCGATGTAATATAGTGGACGGTACATTTCATTGATCTACATTTTCTTGCTAAAATTCATTCGCTTTTTTCCCCATCGCACACGTCAATCTTAAGTAACTCCTTGGTTTTGCATATATGTACATATGTATGTGTTCTCTCAAGTGGCCCACTCATGAGAAAGTTTACCACTCAACATCTTGTAGCATTGGCAGAAAAATGCATTGAGACATCGACAATTAAATCCGCGTTCACTCAATCGAACCTTGAAATTAGTTATTGTGGTTTTCATTGAAGTTAAGCCACCACTTTTTCTCCTCCGTCGTCATCGAACTTGCGAATGTGGCACTATTTGTGGCCACTTTAGCCATGTAATTTCCTGGATAGTTCGGTCTTGGGACAGCCCATCAGTGACTCACAACATGTACGAAATTCCACGTTTTGCCACACACAATTATCCCCCAAAACTACTCACCGAATAGTGTTAGCATCTGCATTTTATAGCCAAGTCTCTTTATTATAAGATCTCTCTTCCCAGAATAACGATTTTTGCCTTGATTGTAGACATTTCTTTGCTCAAGTTGGTAGTGCAACATTTCAACAATTCTCATAGCACTGTATTAAACATCTAAATTGCATCATATAATATACTATACTTTGAAACTATTTCAAAGATTAATGGTAGAATATGAACTTGTGAGAAGACTAATGTAGATCAGTTGCTAAATTAATACCCCGAAAATCTGTGAAAGTTGAAAATTTGAAAGAGAAACACTTGCATATCTTGCATTTTGTTTGAGAATACCAAAGAAGCTTATAGCATCACATTTCAAATACCAGATAAGAGGTGAATTAGATTTTTGTCTTGTGTTCACATTAATTAACTGAAAAGCAACTTTTTTCACATACAAAAACAAACTAAACTTTTAGGGGGACAAAAAATTCTTCTCTACCTCACAAAAAGTGTTGAAATTCAATTTTATACGCTACAAATATTGCGTAGAAGATTTAGCAATTTAGATGCAAAAATTTTTGTAGCTCAACTTTAACGCTGATAACAAACTTGAATGCGAAATCTAGCAAGTCTCAGCAAATTCTTGGCAAACAAAAATCCTCTTTTTCTCTATGATAATCTTCTTCGCATTTTTTCTGCTACTTCTTTATCGTTCTCTTCCGCATTAGAGACTCATCCATGTGATAAAATTGATAAGGACCGAATATTTATCATTTTAAGCACCACTTGTTCTTGCTTGTTTACCCACGGCAATGGGTCAATGGATGTGCAAAGAGGCATCGTGAGGCTGTGGAAGGCGATATAAAAAGTATTTCGCACTCATTTGAGCATCCTAAAATACACAGTTCGTCTATCTTTAAGTGGTTCAGCAGCAGCATATCGTCAAGAATTGGATGTGATCCAAATGAACCAACAAAAGGTGCATTTAATTGAATTGCTCACAACATTTTGAAAAAGAAAGAAGGAAGGAAAAAAAACATTAAATTGAGAATGAATGAAATTCCTTCGTGACGCCACACAAACAATTCTCACCAAAAAATTTCTGCTCACCGGTCAGGCAAATGCCAATCTTATCTGTTTCCGATGTTTCACTCTATGTTTTATATGCTCTTCTACCTTCTCACTGGGATTTTTCTTTATTGTCTCCTTCGTGTGGAAGTGTTTCTTCTTCTTCGCCCAACAGAAGAATGCATTGGTGTGTATAGAAAAAGAAGGGAAAATCTCTTCGAGACTGTATGTATTCTACTGAGGTTTGACCCAGCTTTACGAATTAGATATTCCCTCTAGAAGACTCTGTCGAATTCCCAAGTTCTTGGAAATTGGTCCAAGTTTCACCTCTGGCATCTCTTCTCAGTCCAGGATTAATAACACATTCCCTGATATTGAAATCAATAGGAGAAATGCTCATCGGAATGTTTTATTATTGAGAAAATATTTACGGGCAAAATTCCGCTTCTTATCATTCGTGAAATTTTTAAATTTTATTTCAATATCACAAACTCAAAATCCGCTTTCTTAGGAAATAAGGAGCGGACGCAAAAATAAGACGTACTAAGTAACTTCCTGTCAAATTTTTTCCCATTAAAGCATTTATTTAATCTCCAAATGTCAACCTTATCAATTGTTACGTAACTCGGAAACATTTTCCGCAACATTAGCTTCAATTAAACACTATTCTCAACTAACTGGTTTCGTATAACTTTTAATCTGAAAAATGGATTGACGGCATTTTGCTCTCTCTCACTCACTGTATCGCCCCAAAATTCCTGACCATTGAGCATGACGGGATTTTACGTGGCCTATCAAGTGAATCCCACAGACCATAAACTTTATAGTGCTTATCTGAAGCTGCTCTTCCCCGATAAAGTAGTCAAAGAAGACATCAATCAGCGCAATTATTTTTGCTCTCCCATTTTCTCACACACTTCCCCAATCTTCGCACAACTACCAATGCAGAAAAAAATACTTCAATTTCTCTTTCGCACAGTTTTTCCCCAAACTGACTCACACTTCTGCCCAGAATCCGTCACAGTGTGAATGAGGCACACGATGAGACATTCAAATTCCCTCCAACCAGAAATCTAATTATCATTTTGATTTATTGGTGGACTGCAGGTATTTTTAACCAAGAGGTCCATCGTCAATACATGCTCTCGACGCTTATCTACCTGATGAATGAACACGATGCTCAGTGTCTGTGCAGACAATCGCTGATCTCTGCTTCGCCGAGGGATTTGAGGAAATGCTTTTTACTTCGTCTGTCCAATAATATTGAAATTGTAAGCCTCGGGGGAGGACTTCCAAAGACCTAAATACTTCCGTGTGACTTGATATTGAAACGCGCTGGGATCAGAAAGAACGCAAGATATATATACATATATCCATTCAGCAGGATCAAAGTAGCCGGAAGGTGTTTGTTTCCCTCCAGGCACTTGACATTACAGCAAAGCAACTTTGGCGGAAGAGAAGCAAGTGATTTCTTCAAATCCGACTGCATCGGAGATAAATCTCCGGTAAAAGAAGTTGAGAGAATAAATCGAGATGAGGTTGGCTTGCCAATCTCAGGAGAAACCCAACGGTGAAGCAAAGAGAGTGAGAGAGAGCGAATGAAGAGCAGTCAACACTTGAATTGAGATTCCATCAGTCGAATGTCAGACGGAGGCTCAAATTCCGATGGAAAATACAGGGAAATAAGTGCAAACAATACCTAATTTTCAGTACAGTCGGAAAGATGATGACTCTACACGTTCACTTTTGCTATTTTCACCACAGTCTCCACACTGCAAATTCACATTTTCCATGCGAGAAATAGTACACCTTCAACACCAATCAAGATGTCAATTTCGACTGCGCGAAGGAACGTCTTCCTTCGTTCACGGCACACCAAACACTGACGAGGTTTTGTTTTGTCACGAACGCTACAACACGAAGTTGGCACCAATCCCGATGACAGCGCGATTCTGCGCTGGCAACACGCAACGCGCCAGTCATGCCGCGATGGAAAATTTAAAATTTCATAGGTGTGTGAGTGCAGGAATAATGAGAAGACTTTATGGAGATTGAGATGAACCACTTTTGGTGGGGAATTTGACTGAACTTGCCAAATTAATTATTCCATTTTCCTCCCGAAAGTTACGATGATCATAAAGTGCATTTTCTATTGCCTTGATTTAAAATAGAATAATTACGATTTCAGTGGAATGCTTAAAGTTTAAATGCCAGAACAAATTGTATAATAGCAAATTATGTAATTGATTTATTGAAAATGTCCATGCGACGATTTTCTCCATTCCAGACATTCCAAATGAAATTTTTATCGCATTTCCTGCAATCATTCATAAACTTTAATTGAAATTATTGGAGAATATTGTACAATTTTAAAGTTCTTTGCGCTCATGCAAGATAAACAAAAAGTGAAGTACAGGTGCAAAGAAAAATTTAAATTTATCTTAATCTTTCCTACAATATTAGTATAGTGAGGAAACTGTGATTATGTTTGTTTTACTGCTTACACAGACATGGTTAATCAGAATCAGTGTTTAAATTTAAAGCATTAACCCATTCCTCATCCAGCTTCTTTTCTGGAAGACAATCAATTTTGTTCACGGTTTGAATATTCACATGAATCACTTGGGGACTGTCTTTTTCCGTGCAAAAATAAATTTCCACTAGTGCAAGGATCATCGCAGTGTGTAATCTCCGACCGCAAATGTGAGTCCTTCGCCAACTCCTTTGCTCCTTGCTGTGGTAACTTAATAAATTCTTGAAATATGATTTATCGTGACACTGGCAAATTAGAATTTATTGCCCCGCGTGTAGAATCTATTTTTACAAATGATTATCGTCATTCAACACCGCCCCCATGCTTAAGTGCGCCACAGGAGCAAAGACTGCGCACCCTCGTCCTTTGCCACCCACAAACACGGGAAATGCGGTTGTACAGGACGCCGTGAGATGTGTGGCAGGACGAAGAGTGGCGTACACTTTTATGTGAGGACTCACATATCTTCAATCTATAAATTTCCACCTGATGATTTTGCATTCATGGAAAATGGGTGAAATTTAAATTTCCTCGTGCCTCCGTTGTTACGACGAAAAGATATTTCTGGCACGTTTACGGAATATTTCGGAGACAAGGAGGTACACACACAAAAAGGCGTGCAAATAATTTATTGGGTAAAAGGGAACAGGACGCTTTGCGACTCCGGAATCTCTTCCTCACCAGCATCTCTGGGCGTGTGCTATTAAGCGGATGGCATGCATCTTTCAGGGCAAGACTCGGCGTATTAATAAGGGAGTTCCTAATTTTCCTCCGAGATCATCAAATCCCCTCTTGTCTCACTCACGGCCTTTATATTGATTTTTACAACCCACGAGAAGTCAGTTTAATTCTCCTCTGTGGGAATTTCCATTATACGCACCAGAGAATTGAGCATAATTTGAATTATTCTCGAATTGTGACCTGCTCAATAAATGATTTCAATTTATTGAATTACGTTTAATTAAGGTGCATCGCATGTCTCAATGATATTGATTTTATTCAATGAATTATGAGCATTTCATCAACTTCACCAATGCTTGCCAATGCTTTTCTTTAATTAAAAACAAATCATCAATTAAATCGTGTCGTGAAATGATTCCTAGGAAAATCATTTGAATCTAATTAATAAACACATTATAAATCAAACTCCTTTGACAATATTATTTTTCAATCTCTGTGAAAATTGAAAATCCCATCAGTATTTGCTCATGAAGAGAGGAAAAAGGGGACACAGCCAGTTTTCGTCGCCAGGGACGTTTTTGGACGGAAACTTGCGTATCATTGAAGCACTGGTGCCAGTGAAGGAGTGGTAAATAACAATAAAACTCCTACATAAAACAGAATTTTCTTGGCACAATGACAAAAAGGATTTTGCAACATAAAGGACCACCACACACAGATGATGATAAAAAATATCTCATGAGATTAGAGGCGTTGCGAGACGAAGAGTGAAAAGTAATTCTTTAATAATTTCTGGCGGTGTGTGAAACGACACGAGAATAATCTCCTGAAATTTTATCATCACAGCATTATGTGCAGAGCATTTACATAATGGACGATGAAGAATAATTCATCTGAAATTTTATTGTTTCAGCTGAGGATTTTCCTTAAAAAGCAAATGCATTGTGTGGACATCGCAGTTCATTCCACCAAATGAATGGATGATTGCACAAAGTGATGGCAATGAGCTTCAAAATCCCGGAAAAGTTGGCGAAAAGAGAGGACGCTTTCTCATCACCCATTCTCTCCATGGGGAGCATTTTTCCGCCACTTGTGACACCGCATGGCTGCGAAGAAAGGGAACATATTATGGAAACTCTTCATGGCGGATAAATCAATCTTGCAGCCACTTTGTGGAAAAGTTTCTCCCGAAAAAGGAGATCAGCTTTAAGAGCTTTTCCTCCGCTCGGGAACACAGCGTTACACCTGCTGTTTTCAGCGATTACTTTCCCTCTGCGAAAGTCAAACTTTTACCCAAGGTACATTGTTCATTAAATTATGACAGGAGAGGTGAATGCCTTGTAAGGCCCTCCATCAAGTCCAAGTCGCTTTTGGTCCGGTCATCATGCAAACAGCTCGTTAATGCGAAACCTTATCGCACGACGACGATGCGTGGAATTGTTCTCCGTAATTCAAATTAATCGTCAAATTTACTGCCGACGGAAACGCTGCTGAAATATTTAAGTAGCAAGAAATATCCTGATAAATGATTTATGAGGCATATAGAGTGCTTCAGCAATTTGTTTATATGATTTACCTCGCCTTTTAACCTGTCAAAGATACTTAATCCCCTATGGTTTATTTCCCTAACAAGATTCCTTCGCTCATTTCCTTGCTTTCGGATCGGATAATTTGACGAATAAATTGAGCATGCCAATCAATGACATGTATGAGCAATTATCTCTCAGTATAGGTAGTTAAAATCAAAGTTGACAAACCAATTTATAAGAGAGGCTTATTATAAGTTCACCATTTTCTTTTCACGAAGAATATAAAAAGGATCAAAGTTCAGCTTCAGCGGAAGAATTGAAATTTCATCAGATAACTTGCCAAAGTTGATGAATTACACACAGAGCTATTCTTCGTCGAGGGACTGGAGATAAAAACTTTAAATCCATCTGCTTCCGTAATATAAATCCTTTTAGTCCCTTTTCTCACGCAGCATATTTGTTTAGAGAACATCCCAAACCCCACCAAATCCACCCGTCTGTTGTGTATTGTGAACACCAAAATGGCCAAAACTTATTCCATTAACAATGCATATGACAAGAGTGTGAGACTTTGGGAGGGAAATTCAATTATTTCTATATTAAGTGGGACAAGAAAAAGAACGACACGGAGAAGGGTTTAATGATTCCAACGAGATCTCAGCTAATTTCCTCCTTTGGGATTTTACACCTTTTCTCCTCCGTCCATTCTCGGTGGGTCAGAGGAGGGAGAGAGAGAGAGAGAAAGAAAAAAAAACGAGGACACCTCCCAGGAAATCTCAAATTTTCCCATTCACCTGGCGATGCTTTCCTTGCTATTTTCACGCTTGAAAATATCATGCCAGAGAATATCTTCTTTTAAAGACGATGTAGCTTTTTAAATGAAATTTTGATGAGAAAAGGTAAGCAATTCTCTGATTCTCGTTGCATTTTATATTAGCTCATGGCAGGAGAATGCAGGCAAAAGTGTTCTTTAAGAGTGTTGTGCTCGGAAAATTCATTCTCGGACGTAAAATATTCATCCCCCCTTCAATTTGCATACTAATTTATCAGAAGAGCTTTCAACCACAATTCTTTCCGCTGAATCTTCACCGTCAATAGTGTTGCAAAGGCTTGACTTTTATATCCTCTGCATTGGTGGCAAGAATGAAGATATTTTTCATTGAATTTTCCCCCAAAGACCCATTCTAGGGAAATTGCTGCAATTTTTAAGGCCAAGTCTTCTTCTAATCCTCACTCACTAACATTATACATAAGTAAAGATATCTAGAATAAAGTGTCTTGAATTTCCCCGACAACACTTTATCAATTCTGTATTTATTGCTCGCCGGAAAAAAAAATCTTGGCCACTGCCAAAAGTTTCTTCATACGGGCAGATATTGCAATGGAGACAGAATTCCAGCGGCATTAATTACAGTCATTAATTTTGGTGACTGGCACAGAATTGTGGATGAAATAATTGAAAATAAATGCAAAACTCCTCAAGATAAAAAAAAACCCTTACAAAATGTTAATATTAAAGAATCTGTTGGAGATTCTTTCAAATTGAATGTTGCAAAAGCAGAAAAGTAATTTTAGGAATTCCTGGAGAAATTGCCAGAGGAAAAATTGTGATGAAATGGAACTCCCACTGCATATTCGACGTTACTTGAGCCACTAGGAGAAAAGAATCCTTAATTTCGAATCAATAGTCCAGTCACTATTTCCGTATTGTGCCTGAATGTGAATCTTGATGGGAATTCTTGAAATGTTAATTCAAACCATTGAATGGAATTCTCCACATATCCAATGAATTGTGAAGGGAGAATGATTGTCATGAGAGGGAAAATTTTAATTTTGCACTAGAGTTAAACTCTACTTTATGGCCTCTTTCCATCCCTCGGCTGTCCATTGAATTTATATCCCACGGAAAACGTGGCCCAATTTCTCCACTGAATTGCATAAATCTTCCCACCTTTGCGCTGTGTTTCGGCGAGAGCCTCCTTTTCCACGGGGGCGCAAATGATGAGATTCGCCTTTGCATATTGCTCGCGGAGTGGATGAGATGAAAATTGGGCGCGATTGAGCGAGGGAAGTGGGAAGTGAATGAAGAAAAAGCGTAGCATTATGCTATGAAAGTGAGAGAGAAAAATTCCTCCT